GAATTCACGAAAGATTTTGAAAAATTAAGTCAAGCTATTTATTTAAAWGTMTTACATAGATTAATAAGAATAATAAAGGGTATTTTTCAWTTTTATTATACTACTTATAGTATTTAAGTACTTTTCATTTATATACAGAGGGTGTAAACGTGCCCTTATAAACGCTATAAAACTGGGCCACTAGTCCGTGGCCTTGATGTAACCCTTCAAGCATTGTTCGCCTCCGATCATTATCTAGCGAGTTATATATACAGCGAGATAATGTTTTTTTTTTTTTTTTTTTTTTTTTATTATTCTGTTTCATCTCTGGTTGGACGTATGCAAAGAGGATGTAGGCGAAACAGTCGTCTGAACCTCTAAGGAATAACAAACAGGTGTGCTGATTGCCTACCGGTTTTACCATCTGAACAGAACAAGATTTTCATTTCAGTATTACGGCTAACACTTGGGTAAAAAAATAATAATAATAAGATACAAAGAAAGAATACGTCAAGTCAATTAAAAAAMCCCTCAAAAAAACGGACTCGTATTTATCTACCTGTTACTACCCCTACAGAAAATACATCTTATAAAACGACATGTAATTTGTGGCCATACAATACTTTATGCTAAAATGAAGTTTTTAATTCTTCAAAAGGTTTATTAGAAAACATTACTCAATATAGGGATCATAATGATACGCTGTTGATTTTTTTTCATTAACGTTAACAATTTTTTGTTRGATTTAAATCTCTTAGRTAAGCAATAGCCATTTTGTGTATTTTAGAAATATCTTATACCAACGAGACAGACCAAAACAATTAATTAGCATGATGTATACATTTCTTACTATTAATCTTGAAATTTGATTTAATTATTTATAAATTTAAATTTAAACCATTATAATTGCCACTAAAATACTACGTCCTGGACTCTTGGTTAAAAGCTTTTTTAATAGAGTTAAAATACGCAGGTTAGTATAATTCTTATTAAAATTTATAGAAATAAGTACGATTCTACATTTTTTTTTTGCATCGCAAAAAATCTATTATAATTTATTTTTTCTTTAACATATCTTATCTACTTAATAAAAATGAAAAGCTGTTTGTTGGTAACCATATCGATCGAGAATGACTGAATTGGTTTGTTTCATTAAAAAAAAAAAAATGTTTGCAATATTTCAAATGAAGTATTTACAAAAAGAAAAATTGGAGAATTGGGGAGAACTTGAAAAGTCTTTTTTCAGTGAGATTTTCGTATCTATTTTTACAAATGGTGTAAGTAGTTGCCATTGATTGCATACAATTATAATATAGCAAAATAGCAAATTACTTTAGCAAATTAGTAGAATTAGTACTATTTTTTTCTATATAAATGCATTATGACATATTATGGTAATATGGTTGCATAATATAATATAACATAATTGGTCGGATATAATAATTCAAACTTATAGATTTATTGTTTGGTCTATGACCAATATTTTTGCCCCGCGTTGGTTATCCAATGTTAATAAATAAAAACTATTGGACGTTTTCAATAAAAAGTTATACCAATAGATTCCTCGAGACTTTGATTGTGGTTATAGTTCTTTTTTCAATCCCTGTATATCCAGATGCTAAAAGGTAGCTAGAATAAGTTACATTTTTTTTTTAAATATATAAATGTGTATATATATATATATTATATAAAAAACATAACTTTGTTTCGAGAAATAYCGGATGGGACAACTTGATTGAAATAATACTGCTTATGTGAAGAAAAAAAATGATTTAAAACAATAAAACAATGAATTGTTTTCCACTTTTCCAGTAAAATTTATACTTCAAATTTTTAACCGAAAACAAATGTATATTTTTGTCATAAATACATAAACTTTATTACGATCATAACACCTGTCAATAATATTATCATGTTTATTCTGTCTTATAATACGTGTTTTATGCGATTTATACGTGATTCAATAGACCGTAGTAATATAATAGTGCTTGTTGTATATTATAAATCAGTAAATACTAAACAGTCAATTTTTAAATACTATAACCATATAYATAATACTATAACCATATATTGATGGGTAACTGCACGTGTGAASTGTGAAGTGTAAATTCACATACGCAAGGAATATAATATACGTCTATATTATAGAATAATATCATATATAGTCCATCACGTTTTACCCACTCGGTGTCTAAAATTTGTATTGTTCTATTTTTACTGGAATCGACGAAAGTGTACAACACTATGGTTTGATTCCAGGTCATCAAAACGAGTCCATATTGGTTTAAAAAATTCCAATTCAGCTAAATTTTTGAACCATTAATACAAATCTTGTGTAATGTTTAAAACAATTAATAATATTCTACGAACAGAAACCGAGAAACATCGCATAGTATTTTATGAACCTATATCTGCGTGACGCGTACGAAAAATAGTATATTACATTATTATAATAGAGAGGTATATTAGGTATAAAAATCATATAATAATTTTTTTTTTTTTATCTTCAACCTTAATTATTATGTTATAACTTATAATACCTATACTATATTGTATAAATATTGATTTTATATTATAATATATCGATACTAATATATTCCTAGAATTTTTGCATGGAGATTTGTCAATAATTCTATTTCACTTGATTCCACTGAATAAACAGAAATGAAACTTCAGAGCAAACAACATTTATTTACAACTTTATAAGTGTAAAATATACACGTGTGCAATATATTATTAGATTAGAAGACTTAATATAATAATATTATATTTTACTGTCAGCACATCAACCGATCATTAGAATGTAKACACATAGAGTTAAATTTTGGATTTATTAATATTATAGTAAGCTGAAACTAAAGAAGTWTTAACCGTATTTTAATAAAAATTAGTAGTAGTTACTTAAGTATAGATATATACTATATATAGATCGTTTAACGAATACCGATCAAGTTGAAATGAAAGGATTAAATATATTATACATAGGCTATACATAGCATATACGTATTTTTTTCTTTTGAAAAATGTGTACATAATAGTTTTTGAAATGTAAGTGATACAAAATCGATTAACGTGTAACATATAATATTAATCAGAGGCATCTTAATTATAGAATTAAATATTAATATCCATCAAAATAATTTATGTATTTTGAGCCATAAAAGGTTTTCGTTTTTATTTTCACACACAGCCCTGGTTTCAACAAGAGTAATTTGGAATCTCTCCTATTTAACTATTTCAACATTCAAGTCATCGATACACCACAGCATTATGCATACTTACCTAAACTTTGGTCTTTAGTGTTACACACCTATTGATTATACATAGGACTCGTTTGTACATATTTAATACGTACATTTACAATTCCATCGGATATTTGTATGTTATAAAACTTATAATATAGAAAATTGTACTGATTTTATATCAATAACGTAATGTATTTAGAATCAAATATTAACGGGTGACATATACACGCGTTTAAGACTTATGTCTCATATACCTATACATAAATATTACGCATAGGTATTAATTAATCATTGGTAGAATTGGTACTGATGCAATGCCACTAAGAATGGTCGGTCGTAGATAAAAAAAGCGATGCGGTAGACACACAGCTTATCATCGTTAGTTCGTATACGGTATTTCAGATATCGATATTAGTTTCTGGTAGATATAGGTAACCGTCTAAATTTAAATTTCTTCCAACGTCATAATAATTTATAATTCGATAACGCAATCGAAYTTACCATCTCGTATACATGTAAAAAAATAATACATATGGGTACCTATCATCCAAACATACCTACATCAATACTTTCAGCGACAAAGCCTGAGATAACCATATTTTATTTTCAACATGTTTAGAAACTTGTATCACATTGATATTACAGAATAAATAAATACATTTGTGAATCATATAATATTAGGTATATATGTGTGGACGTCACAATAAGCTCTGAAAATGGTATATACATATTATATAGGTACTCACAAATGGGTATATAATATATATTATAGTGTGTGCATTATTTATATATAYAGRCAGGTAAGTAATAAGTATATATAATATATTATAAACATTATGCGTACATGATCGCGATACAGAGACGTCGTAAATGGTTAGGTTAGCGCTTACCTGCAGCAGTGCACTATTCCGGTTCGGAGGATAGATGAACAAAAAATGGCTATGTATATGACCTACGTATAGGTATACGTATTTATATATAAATATAATACATATATACAAACAGACGTAGATGGAGCGACGACGGYGGGAACACGAGAGCGGGTAGGTACGTGGCCGAATGCGAAACGATATTATATYGCGGGGCGGAAAAACGAACGTCCACGCGCATACATGATATTATATTATATTCTGACGATGAAAATAATATATTATATTTCATTACACGTGCAGTGTAGCGTACGCGATACGATAACTGTACAATAATATCATACCTAATAATATTGTCGTATAATAAAATGACTAATAATTATTATTATACGGTCCGCGGATTATTAAAACTATCGGTTTGGATTTTCGTTTTCGTTTTTTCCGCGCGCGCGTTCTTCCTCTTCTGTTCCGATTCCCACTCGCCGCCATCCACATCCACGTATAAACATATATGTATATATGCGTATAAATATATACTAGTATGTCGTTGTCGTCGTTATATACATACGGTATTTACACTATATAGGCGTGCGAAATATAGCACTGCGCCGTCCGGGGGGGCAGGGAGGGGATCGGAAAACCGAGTGCGCTGCTATAATATTTTACTGTACACATATGCAACAATAATATGACCGAGACCGATGTCACCTATATATAGCCGGGTCCACACACGGACGCGCTTTATTAGTATATTATACGCGCGTTCTCATTATTTTGTCGGGTGCCCGCGACTCCGACTCGACCGATTTTTACATAATAATACAACATACAAAGTGGTTACACACGCTGCTCCTCGCAGTAAATATTATTACTATTATTATTATATGTTGTACGCTTTTTTGTTTTCGGAATAAAAAAAAAAAAAAAAAAATCCCCTTCGCCGATCATCATCACCGCCCAGCAACTGCACCGCGCCGCCGCAACCCCGCCGCCTGCTTCACCCGTCCGGACCGCAACACGTTCCCGTCATCATCGCCGTCGCCGTCGTCGCCGTCGTCCTAGTCGTCTCGTGTGATCGCCATCGCCGCAAGCAAAACCCACACGCCAGCCGCCGAAGAACATAATATAATAAAAATATTTTAATGATAAATAATATTATTATCGCATCCAGACACGCGCATCTTATTAATATTATATTCTACAGCGTTTAGTCTCTTCTCCTTTTTCTTCCACTTCATCGTATCCTCCATCTTCTCACTTTTTACGGCGACTCCGTCTGCCACTCTTTCTCTTTCTCTCTCTCTCTCTCACTCTCGCTATCTCTCTCTCTCTCTATCTTTCTCTCTCTATCTCTCTCTCTCTTACACACTCGTACCCGTCATCGCGCTACTAACAATAATATTCATATTATACATTCAACACTGGGCAGCGTCTTTGGGGTGGAGAGGGGGCGGACGGCCGTGGCCTCAGCCAGCATCTGAAGGTGTGTGCGCGCGCCGCGCACGTGTGTGTGCTCGCCGTCTTCATCCGGGCGTAGTCACTGGGGGCGCACTCGCGCACAGTAGGTACACAGCCGGTGGACTGCGGGCGGCAAACGCAGAGTGGCTATGGACACCACGAACGGGGTAGTGGCCGGTGCTGATGCCGTCACCGTCGCGCTGTCGTTGCTGCTGTTCGTCGTGCTCCTGATGCTTGCGGCCACATCGGCGTGTGGCCGCGGACTCTGGACCGCACGCCGTCGACTAGACACAGCCACAGCCGTCGCCGCCCGCACCGCCGTGCTAGACGGCCCGACGGCGTACCCGGTCATCGGGGCGCTGCACGCCATGGACGGGCACCGGGACAGACCTTTCCGCCGGTTCACCGAGCTGTCTCACCAGTACGGACCCGTCTTCTCTATGCCCATGGGATCGATGCCATGCGTGATCGTCAACGATTATCCGTCCATTAAGGAAGTCCTCATCACCAACGGTTCTAAGTTTGGCGGCCGACCTAACTTTATCCGGTACAATGTGCTGTTCGCCGGCGACCGAAATAATTGTAAGTATACCGACAAAAAAGTATCCTCCTTATTATCTTAGGAAATTATATATATTATTACGATATGTGCTATGAAGTTATAATATARAAGTATAACAATAACACTTAAATAAATCCTACTAATTTAAATAATGCATTTATTATTAGTGGGCATTCAAATGTTATTACGATATAAAACAGCAAACATTTTCAATTTCGTACGTTTCGAGATATGTGYGGTTTTTCAAAAACCTATAATTTAATTTACTGTACCAAAAATAATAATTAAAAATATAAATTTATTGTCTGCGGGGCGGATAGAATTCGTCAGCAAGGGTCATTTGGGGACATCTATTATATACCTTTAATTGTATACACGTTATTTTAAATTATGTTATGATTATAGTAGATTTATTTTTTTATTCGAAAATATTATTATATACATTATATCGAAGAGCATAATATTCTCGAAAACAAATTTATGGGCGAGAATTTACCGGAACGAAAATTGTAATGCCAAGTACAAATTATTTATTTAATTTTCATTTAAGATTACACAGAACGATGGAACTAATAGTTTTTTAAAGAAGATGTGAACATATATTTTAAAACGACATTATCTAACTATACATCATATTGTTATTTATTTTAAAACAATTGAATACAATTGAATAATTCTTATAAAATGGTCTCCTATGTCCCCCTTTAATCTATCGATGGCTCAAAGTATAATTTTAAGCTGGAAATAATAATATAATTTCAACATTTTTTTCATATTGTTAACGTAAGTATTTTTGAATGTAATGAATCTGTATCTGAATTATACCTTAAAATTCAAAACGCTCAATGCTGTGAACGCAAATTTTATGTACTTTAATTTATTTTGGATTACGCTGCATAGCAATTTATAATACAAATAGGCATCTATACCAATAAAATTGAAAATATCATGTATAGCTAGGTACGTACATTTAAGGTAAAAATCATATAATGAGTAAATAATATGTACATCGTAAAACAATGTATATTTTTTGAATGTGTGTATATATACAATTACATAATATAAAATATTCGTCGATAAATATTCAATTTTGTGTGATTATAAAACTGAATAATCTTTATGAGTACTCATTTATTATAGATATTCGTTTGACTTGACAAACTGTTTGAATTTGAATTTTCAGCTAAACTATAATGAAAAATGCATAATGGTTTTATAATGTGTGCTATGTATATATTTAATGCATCATCAATTTATTTGTGTTGTATTATAAATGCTATAAAAATGTCAAGCTTTTTCACAATAGCCCTGTAGTATATATATTATAAAAATTATTTAATTGATACAGAGAGAGAGAGATTGTATTTGGACCTGTGTTCTTCATTAAATTTCTGAAATCTTCAATCGTTAATGCATTTCACGGGTATAGGTAAGAATTTAACATACATTTTAAATAAGCACTAGACATACCTATAATCTTTATAGGTGTCTATACCTATTTTCGAAACCACGAGTTCTACTGTCTTTTTAAAATTTTAAATCCTACGATTTATAATTATTACTATGCGTGACATATCACTAATACTATAATACACTATCACTTTATTATTATGTAATACGCAAATATTTTGTACCACCTGATGACCAAAACTAGCAGGTAGATACCCAAGTTCAACACCTGGAATTTGTTTTTGATCATGATTCTGTTCCATGCGCCTACCACAATACGCAAAGTCTAGAGTGTTCAATCGATATTATTAAATCATATTTGAATTCGAAATGATTAAGTGACGTAGCTATTAAAATTTCTTTCTTATTACTTTGTTTATTTTTTAAACTGTTTATGTAAGTAGTATGAGTACCTCACTAGTCACTGCGTTAAGTAAACACTGTGAATTATGAAATATTTGTGTTTTTTTTACGTATATACTTACAAGACTCCCAACACATCAGAATAATATTATATAATAAAATATACTCATCAGTTTTCTGAAACATTTTACGGTTATTATTCATAGTGTATATAGGTAATTATGAATCAACTAAATTCATTATAGTAGGCTATTTTTAATTGGGTATTATGTTGACGTAAATATGCGTATTATGCAGTATATTACTTTCATTATGTATAAGTACACTAGTACCGTTTTAATTGCTAATCAAATTACTGATTGAATTTCAAAATAAGGATTTACTATCTTCACATGAAATTTAATACTAATTTAGAAGTTTGTGTTTGAATAATTTTAGACTGAGGTTAATATACTGTATTGAATATCATATTATAAGTTATTGAACTTTGCACTATGGTGAATTTTTGTTAGCGAAAATATAAATACGAAACATTACTATTGCACATGTTATAGGTACTTCAGTCATTTATTCTTCCACCGTTCCACTGTGTCACTGTCATTTTTTTCCTCACCAAATATAATCTTCAACAATTCTTAGATGAATAGGCTGCGATCTCGTTTTCATAATATATACTTTCCAAAATTATTTATCATGGTAAATGATTACTGATTGTAATTAATTTCGATAGGTATGTGACGTTTATACGTATCGTGTGATTACCATAATATAGCTAGTTGCGAGTTGCAACTCATTTTTGCAAGAACATTGTTACATTGTTTCATTAGTTCAACAAAGTTCGACAATTATTGCGAATGCGAATGCCAAAATTTTTTCACAAATGTTCGTTTTTACATCACTTTACAATGTAGGTAAACAGGTAGTATTACGTTTAATAAAACGTTATAAATCAAATAATAACGCATCATAACTGAATGCCTCACATACGAAGCGGATAGACGGGAAGCAGGCATCTCAAACATACTGTCTGAAGGCTTCTGAAGCCCTCCGCCCTGACAACATAAGACAAATAATAACCTTTATTACTAAGTCCAACCTAATCATTAGAATTTAATATATAACTTATGTCTTATATAACATTTAAATAATTTAGAATTAAACTCATTGTTGCCAATGGCCATAGTTGCCGAKGCTAAATTCAAATAAAAATAAAATAAAATAATAAGACAAAATAACATTTAAATATTAAAACTTAATTTTAAAACCATTTCATGGCAAATATATTTTTTAATATCTTTTAGATTTAATGCTTCATTATAATACCACTTTTCTCGATTACGGTCATTATAGTGATTGTAGGTGTTCAAGTTCTAAACTTTGCTCTTCCTAATAAATAAGTATAAATTGCGTACGAATAATATTAAATGTCTAATATATTATATTATTAGTAATGATTAATAAGTAATGAGTAATGACTAATGAGCATTATTATTAAAATGGTCTAACCTCTTTATTACCTATATATGTATACCTAATAGTAAATAGACAAATGCATTTTTAAAATGTATAATGTATAATATAATTTGTAAACACTTCGATCAAAGGAGCCCCATATTCCCATCGTAAAAAAGATTACAAAAATCCATAATATTACCAAGTAGGTTTATTCAATGTTATTACTCTAAGGGGTTTGAGTATAGGCAAAAATGATACATTTAAAGTAGTAAAATAACGTCAATATTACACGAGTTATGTTTATAAGAAATAAAAATAAACTTAAATTATTTTTATGTTTACAATTATAGTTAAATACAAATAATTCTTTTTTCTCACCTATATTTTATACAAGATTTTTAACCTAAACATTCTCATAAAATAAAACAATAGATTTGTCAGTTTTTATTGTTCAATTGCTTAACTAAACAGGGAAATCAAAATTATGTTTCAAGGATTTTTATCAGATATCACTATAATGTTTTGGCGATGGCACAGAAGTTATTATTTATTGTTATATAATATAATGATTTTATAAATTGTATAGAGTTGGTCTTCATTGATTGACAATGTATAAGACGTAATCATTTATAAATAGTAGTTGTTCAACGTTTAAAGGCATTTAAAAATAATATTATAGGTAAGTACAACAATTACTTTTAAATAATTAAAATTTGTTTTATTTTATTATTCTAAAAATATAACATACATTTTAGTACGAAGATTATTGATTGAACAAAAATATTMTTAAATGTGATCTTTTAGGAGATATAAATGTAATGGACAATGGTATAATGGTCTAATTAGCTAAATCATGTATAATAATTCAAATAATTAAACGTTATAATATTATATGATATTATTCAATAACTGGTAATTGCAGATATAGATTTTGGTAGGTAATTTATAAACACTAGATATACATATACGCATATAGGTACACTACAAGTCTACACTTTCGATACTATATAGTAAAAAAAACAGCAAAACATAACATCGGATCGACTATAATATCATTCAAAATCACTTACCTATTAAATCAAATATTATATATATGTAATATGTATTTATGTATATAAAAAAAATAGTAATTCAATAATTACAGATGGGTTACACGCTGGATTTGTATAAACATTTAAATTAAATCTGATTATAGGTAAATAATATGCGTAAGGTAATCAAACTAACTGTGATGTGTTTTTTCTTTTCTTTAGCACTGGCACTTTGTGATTGGTCGTGGCTTCAAGAGACTAGACGGAAGATTGCTCGAATGTATTGTTCGCCGAAAGTGTGTTCATCCAACTATGGTCTGCTGGACTCTATTGCATCCGATGAGTTGGACGTATTTTTGGAATCGTTGGCCGCGGTCACGGTCCGTGGTGCCGAGCGTGAGGTACAAGTGAAACAGCCGTTAATGATGGCCAGTGCCAATATGTTCCTCCGGTTCATGTGTACGACACAATTTGAGTACGGCGACCCCAAGTTCCAGAACATCGTCCGGATGTTTGACGAGATATTCTGGGATATCAACCAAGGTTACGCGGTGGACTTCATGCCATGGTTGAGGCCATTCTACGCGGGCCACATGCGGAAGTTGTCCAATTGGTCGRYGCAAATCAGAAGGTTCATGATGGACGTGGTCATATCAAGGAGGAGCAGTTACGCAAGGGCTATGGCCCAGGCATCAAACGGCACCGGTGATCGAAATCATAACGACGACGACTACGGTGTAAACGACGAACAGGAACCAACTGACTTTACAGACGCCTTGCTCATGAGCCTGCACAAGGAACCCAGGCTTAACATGGACCACGTGCTGTTCGAATTAGAAGATTTTATCGGCGGTCATTCGGCCGTCGGTAACATGGTCATGCTCGCACTGTCTATGGTGGCTACCAGACCTCACGTGGCCCAAGCAATTCGGGATGAGGCTGAACAAGTCACCGGCGGCCAACGTTTGGTCCGGCTTTACGACAAACCGGACATGCCGTACACAGAAGCCACTCTGTTCGAGACCCTACGAGTCATTTCGTCACCCATCGTCCCCCACGTGGCAACTGAAGATACTACCATCCAAGGTGACGAAAACGATAGGTTCTTGAACGATTTGAACGATAATTAAAGGACTCGCAGGATTTATTGAAATTGTATATGAATAGAAAAGTCTAAAAATCACTTACTTGTGATTTCGATTCCATAAAAAGGTCGATAGACAAAAACAAAACACATTATTTGATTATTAAATATAATGTAAATGTATTTAAAACGTCAAAAATACCAAGCTTACCAAAAAGTTTGGAAAAATCACTACATTTTATTTTACATTGTGATTTTTTAYCACCTAAAATGACTAATATTTACAGAAGATGAAATTTTTATAGACATATAACAAGTATAACTTTATTTAATTCTTATTTAAATTTAATAACATATACATACTATATTTTTAATACGATAAAAGAAGACCGTGTCGATTTAGCGTTTATCAAACAGTGCAATTAGCCCATAGTCAGAATTAAATAATAAATAAATAATATTCATTTGATATCGACCGTCGATTAAGTGATTGATAGCAATATATTTTCAAACATTATATCATAATCGCGTGGTAGATAAACAAATGATCCGATATTATATGTAAAATATCATCATGCCACTTTTGGCGATGGCGTGGAAAAATCTTAGCATAAATCCTGGTATAAGTACCATATGAAAACGACTATAATATAATACAGTGAAACCTCCCTTAACGGACTCCTATAAATATTGTACACATCCAAATAGCGGACATTTACACTATTACTATACAGGAAAAACCCTAAATATCGGATACTTTTATGGTAATTTTATTTTCATTTTGATATTTCTAAAATATATAATAATCGCGGAATGCCTTTATAAATATCTATCTATCTATTATAGCTTAAAGTTAATCTTATTTATCCATCATCGCGTCCATTAAAACATTTTTCTAGTTTATGTTCTGTGAAGTATATCCTATACATTACTTTTCTTATACTCATGTCTCGTATTCAGTTGTGTTTGTGATTTCATTACATACGGACGTATTGTCTCCAACGCAGTTGAATTAGAAAATGCTTTGATACACGAAATTACTATGAATCAGGGTCTAAACAAGTTAAAGTAAATGTATTTTTTATATAATTTTAAATAATAATATGTACAATTAATATTGCATTAAAATAATAGAAATATAGAAATACCATTGATTATAAATATTATATAAATTATAAAATATGTAATTATTTATTTTTGAGAATTTACCCCCTCCCCCACTGAATAGTGTACACTTTTAAATAATGGAAAAAATCACGGCGCCCGAGAATATCCGGTATTTAGAGGTTTCACTGTATTATAATAACCTACCTACCTAATACCTATTATTCAATATATTATGATTTTTTAATATGACATAAAAATCTATATTTATATTTTGTTTGTGTACGTTTAGGATTCAAAATATCGAAGGGCACGTGCATTATAATCAACAATTATGAAATTAACACCAGCCCTGTGTACTGGGATGACCCGGAAGTGTTCGACCCCAATCGTTTCGTACACCGCAAGTCCGGCGTAAAGCCGTGCATTCGGAAACCGGAATACTTTCTGCCGTTCAGCACTGGAAAAAGGACGTGCATTGGACAGCAATTGGTTTCCGGGTTTGGGTTCGTACTGCTAGCCGGTATACTGCAGAGGTACGAGGTAACGGCCACTGCTCAATTGGCAATACCCGAGGCGCGTCTGGCTCTACCACCCGACACGTACCCACTGATATTGAGACCTCTAGATGAATCTCGAATATAAATATCAAATATATTAAACAATTTTGTTGACATCAGACTAAAATGGCAATCATTAGTGTACATTAAATTAGAAAATTATTGTACATATACCCAAACACATAATATATTTCACAAGTGTTGAATCACAAGACTGTTTGATTTACAATTTATTCGTATGTAAGAACATTACAATAATTTTAACCGCGTGTCTACGTCGATACTCAATTCAATTACGTATTGATAGGTATATATAAAAATGTTTTAAATAGACTGAAATTCACTGTTTGAGATACATAATTTTGTATCGGTCCAAAAATGTTATTGTACATGTAGCCTATAAGATAAAATGATGAATATTTATTCAAATTCAATATATAAATTTAAATTTGAGTATCAATTTTTTGATTGAGTATAAAATATAAATACGTTTTTACCAATTTGTATCATCTTTTAATTTTTTACACATAATATATTTGTTGAATTTTAATTTATATCTATTTATATCACTTTTTTTTATAGATAATTGTTAGTTAATAATTATTACTAAACTTAAGATTATATTTCCTATGATATAAAATTATTATGTTTAAATAAAGTATTAACAATAACAGTTAGTATATTTCCAATTTTGTCCACATATTACTATCGGTATTCTTAAGAGGATGTCAGCGCTCTATTTGTTTTCTCTTTCTGGCTCACTCGTAACATAGACAAAACGCATATCCGCAGAATCATTTTTTCTATGTCTTGAAGTAATTTTAGAGTAAAACCTCCCATTACAAAAAAGATAGAAAATAATATTTTTGAGGGMATGACATATCGATTTGTCTAAATATTGTCTCTAAATAAYTTAAACATTATKTAAATGYACAGTATTTTTTTGTTTATTTTGAAAGTCGAATACAAAGTCAAATATCAATAAAATATAAAATCGATATGTCATTCCCTCAAAAATATTATTCTTTATCTTTTTTTGTAATGGAAGATTTACTCTAAAATTACTTAAAGACATAGAAAAAATGATTCTTCGTAAATGTGTTTTGTCTATGTTACGCGTGGGTCAGAGAGAGAAAATAAATAGTGCGCTGACATCCTCTAAAAAAAAAAAATCGATTTAATAAAATGAATACAGAACTACGATTGATAAAATGTTTTATTCTTAATGTAAACAAAGACATTACGTTTTAATAATAATATGTATAGTTACATCGAACAGTAGTGCACACTGCGCACAGTGCATAGTACAGGATTTTTTTGGGAAAGTGTAAAAAATAATTTTCCCACGGTAACATACTGTTGATATATTATTAGAACTAGAAAGAGAACTAGTCATTATGTAGAAAACATTTTTGTGAGGAAAATAGCTAATTGGAATTAGTTGGTACAACTAAAATGTTATAAATCCTAATTAATACTATGCGCGTAATGACTATATTACGCTCAGTACTGTCATATTATAATATTTATAATTTAAATAAATAATATATAGAATTTCAAATTATAAATAAAAAAAGAGAGAGCACCCAAACTTCATGCAGCAAATACATCGAGACATGTAATATATATGTCAATCTGGTTTTTAATTTCATTTGATATAACATATAACCATATAGGAAATAATAACTATGTAATAAGAAATAAATATTATTATTATTATATTATCAAGTCCACAAACACTGGCGGTAAACAGTACGGTATATTATACCAATATACGTTACATAATACGTTACATGTTATACATAACAAAAAAATTGAGCTCATAGTTTTATATAAGGCAAACCACATCGGTGCCTCGCGATATTATCAGATCGGTGATCGGTATGCGAGCTGATAATTTTTACATGTGATGTAATTATAACATAAATAATATGAGGCTATTTTGTTTTACAAACATATTAATTCATTATAATAGGTACTATCGTGGAAGTTTCACCGCAAGTTTGGCATTGGTCAGGTTCAGATCTGTTCATCAGGTGTTTATGAGTCACCCATGTGTGATTTTCGACTTCAGTACCTCATTTGATAAGAAAGTGAATCTTGTTGGTACTTTGGGGGATCAAAAGTAAAAATTCCCAACATTTTTCATATTAATTGGGATAAACAAACTAAAAATTAAGGAAAAAAATGGAAATTTTTACACACAATCAATTTTCAACAAAATCATTTTTGGTTTTTGATGTAAATTTAAAACAAATTACCATAGATTCATGAAATCACCGAATCTATATAAGCATATTCTATCTACCATGCAATTTTTAAAAAAAATCGATTTAAGTTGAACTATATTTATAGGCATATGCAATTTTCAGTCATTATTAGTTAGGTAGAAATTCATAAAAAATTGTCTTTTTAAATCTAAGATTTGAAAGTTTAATACAAGGATTCTAACATATTTTTACAATACGATATCCACTTTTCCGTTTTTTTTTTATGAACATTTAAGAAATGTTTTTTTGAGATTTAAGATTAAAAAAAATAGTTGCTTTTGGTTACAGCATACAAATTATCGTAATATAATAGTAATAGGAGAAAGATAAATCATTGTATTTTATTCGCTAATTGCAGAAACAAATTGTTATAGTTCCCGGACTTAGAATTAATAAAAAGAAAAAAAAATAATAATGTTATTGTATACTTATACCATCATCGATCATAAAATATACTGTATAGTATTTATAATCAATGCTTCTGCATAAAAAACAAAAACAAATTTTTGTCCGGGCAACACTGATAATTATTATAATAAATAACTACGAATAATTATTATTTCTTTCAATAGAAATCTGAAATGTTGTTCATTTGAATATATCTATTGGCTGTCAATAAAAGCGTTCTAAAAATGTCGAAAAAGTTTTTATTTGCAGGCCTTATATTTGGCGCTATAGGTGGTATTGGCATATTATATCATTACATTAGCAAGCGGAAGCAATTGTTAAATGATAATCATATGATGATATGATGAAGGCTCAAAAGTATATAGTCACGTCAGTGGATGAACAACCACTGCAGTACATAATGAATTGTGACACGGCTAAGGGAAATGTGGGACAAGTTGCTTAGTGTATATCAGGGATGGGCAACTCACAGTTACTATAGGGCCAATTTTTAGAAATTTAAAATATAGCAGGCCAGAGCATAGAAAGCAAAAAAAAATCCATCTAAAAATCCAATAATTTGAGAAATTGTTTGTTTCTTACCTTGAAGTTGTAAATTTAATTTATTTAAATGTTGAGAAATATCAGTTAAAAATGCCAATGAACATAGAAATTGTTTATCAACCATTTGGTTTTCCAAATACGTAGTGTCAGTTTTAATATTCGTTGTAAGAAACTCAAGTATTTCTTTTCTCAAAACAAAAAAACGTTCGAGACACTTTCCACGACTTAACCAGCGTACATCCGTGTGTAATAGTAAATCACCAAACTCACAATCAAGTTCCTCCAAATATGTAATAAAATTACGGTGGTTTAAACTACGGTTGCCTCCTCTAATAAGATTAGTAATTTTAAATACAGTATTCATAACTCCGTCAAGCTTCATTATTTTGCCACACAACGCTTCCTGATGAATGATACAATGTATAGCAGGAACATTAACGTTAGATTTGCGTAATAARCCAACAAAACCAATATTTTTGCCAACCATAGCTTTGGCACCATCTGTCACAATCGATGACATTTTTTTGAATCCACCAAATGGTTCAATCGCATTTTTTACTGCATTAAATATATCACTTCCTTTGGTAGTTCCATGCAAGGAACATAATTCTAATAGCTCTTCATACACTTAAAACTGTGGAGATATAACTCTAACAAACATCAAAAGTTGACTTACATCTGAAACATCTGTGCTTTCGTCCAGTGCAATCGAAAAATATGCACAATCCGTCATAATAGTTTGCAATGTCTTACGAATGGCACTATCAGTGTCAGCTATACGTCGTGTCACTGTACGTCTTGAAAGTGATAATTTTTCAAATTCACTGGCAATTTTGTTTTCGTTAATTGATTCACCATCACTCAACGATTTTTTAGATTTTGCTATTTCGTTAGAAATTATATATGAAGCCAATAAACTTGATCGTTGTGAAGTTTTTGCTTTTGTCATCACATTTTGTTGTGATTGAAGTTTTCTTTTGAGATTAATTACAACACTCTCTCTTGTATCACCAATGTATTTTTCATATTTGGACAAATGATTTGTCATGTAATGTCTTTTTAAATTATATTCTTTTAAGACCGMAATAACGCTTAAACAAACTAGACATTGAGGTTTTTTTTGTTTGTTAATAATAAATAAAAAGTCATTCTCCCATGAGGTATTAAAAGTTCTATTTTCATCATCAATTTTACGCTTTTTTGCGGACATTATTAGGCACTACAAAAAACGAAAACATTAAATTMAACGACAGCACGACACGAACGATACGAAGAAACTGATATAATTAAATAGATCGGTACAAAMAGCTATGGTTAAAATCTATACGTATCCATACGTGTGTATATACCTACTATAACTATATTGTGACATTTATACATTTAACAATGTTCAATACCAGATAACAATTATTATATCGATAAGATAGAGTATACACTATACTAGACATTATAGATTATAGAGTATAGACGATAAAGTTTAAAATTGTATACCTATACCTAATGCAATTTGAAAATGTAGCGCGGGCCAGATAAAAAAGGCTCGCGGGCCGCCAGTTGCCCACCCCTGGTGTATATGAACACAAGTCGGACTCGAGTGTAACGTTGATTCAACAAAAGTTCTACAGCTATGTTAAAGACCCAGATGACAATATGGCAATTTATATTTCGAAATTGGAGAGTCTTAGTAGAAAATTAAAGCAGTTAGGTGAACCAATATCCGACTCAATGCTTATGAACAAGATACTAATGACTTTGCCAGAAAATTATTAACATTTCTACAGTGCGTGGGATTCGATACCAAATGTGGACAAAACATTGTCTAATTTGTCATCTAGACTCATGGTAGAGGAAACAAGACAAACTCAAGGTATGATGCAGAGAGAGATATAGCAAGTAGTAGTGCATTTTTGGCAAAGAAATCATTTGGAACAAATAAAGAAAAACGTACGAAAATTGGCAATTCTGATAATCAATAGAACAATGATAAAAATCCAGGCAAGTGTAATCATTGTAAAAAACCAGGGCATTGGAGACGTGAATGCCGGATTTTYTTAAAAKAACAAAAAGAAARAAATAAGAGCAACTCAGGAAATGCGTTGGTTGGTGTACAATCAAAGGACATCAAAATCAGCGAGTCAGAAAAATGGTATGTGGATTCAGGTGCTAGCGATCACATGACTAGCA